TGCTCGGCTCTGTTTCAGAACCTCGCCATCCCGGGTCCTGCTGGCTTTGGGTCACCAACCCCCCAGTCTGGGCCAGCTATGAAGCCCAGAAGGGCGGCCAGGCCAGACAGAGCTGCCCCCTGTGCCCCGGGCCGCCCAGCACCAGCGACCAGAAGCCCTTGGGAGCTGGGCTGGGGGTCAGGCGGTCCTGCTGCAACTCAGGCCAGGTCAGGCCAGCAGGAGGACAGACGTCCTTCCCTGGGGGGGGCGGGCACGGCCCAGACTTGCTTCCTCTGGCATCAGCTTTTAGAAAGCAGGGAGATTAATTTTGCTGTTCCACAGCCGTGATGGTGGGGTTTCTGTTTTAGGAAATGGAGGGAAGGGAAGGTCTATTTACCAGTCAGAGCCCTTGACTGCAGGTGACAAAAATCCCAAGTCAAAGTGGCTGAAGCAACAAAAGTATTTATTGGCTCATGTCACTGAAAAGTCTAGGAGTTGGATGAGCTTCAGGCAGAGCCTGATCCAGGGGCTCAATATGATACCACCAGGACTCAATCTTTCCATTTCTTCTGGGTTGGTTTTACTCTCAGGAAACCTAGGCATGCATCCCATCCGCTCGCCAACCCCAACCCCGTTAGAAACAGTTGTCTCCTTCAGTCGGTCCCAGACTGAACGTCACTGAGCCCTGCCTGGATCATGTGACCTTCCTCTGAACTAAAGGCTGAGACCAGGGGATGGGATGGTCTGATTGGCCAACCTTGGTCACGTGCTCCTGGAGTGGGCGGGGCCAGCCACCCGGGACCTGCAGATGCTGAGAGAAGAGAACCATCCCCCAGCAAGACCAGGGGGGTCAGCAGGAAGGACCTAAGTCCTCGAGATCAGCAGCTGCCCACAGAAGGGAACTGGAGTCTGGGCTCCGTGCCAGGCCTCGCCGCGCCATCCACAGCTGCTGGCCTGTGGCCCTGCAGGACACAGCCCCAGCCACACCCAGCGGGGGGGCCTTTCCAGCCTGGCCTGGGCTCCGCTGCCCTCCCTGGCCACCCCTAGGCCCCCAGCCCTGCCCATGGCTGGCACCCAGTGAGTGCCCGCAACACGGGATTGTCAAACTTCTGTCGCCTGCTGGACCCTGAGGGGCTTGAGGGCAGAGAAGCTGTCTTGCTCCTGCAGGGTCCCCAGCACCTGAGGCCCAGGGGGTCCCCCGGATGCTTGGTAACCAGTGAATGTGCCTCGGCGAACAGTGGGTCCCCAGACAGTTGGCAAGCCAGTGAATGTCCCTTGGCCCACAGTGGGTCCCCAAATATGCGGTAAATGAATGAATTTGCTCCACAAATATCTGATGAACAGATGAATTCAACTGGGGGAGTGGCCAGCCGGGGGAGTGGCTGGCTGTGGGACCCTTGCAGGTCATGGAGGAGCTGAAGGGGTAGCCATTGGGAGGGGGATGAAGGAGGGATGGAGGGATGGAAGGCAGAACTTCCCTGGAGGAGCCTCTGAGGAGGACCGCAGTCCTGAGGGACACCTGGGCAGGGAGCGGTCAGTTGGCTTGAGGCCCAGCCCAGCCGGGAGGGGCGGGGTTTGGGCAGAGCAGGAAGCCAGGTCAGGCCCCGCCAGGCGAGCGGTGCCAGGGACACTGTGCCCCAGGCGGCCCGGCTGCCTGCTCTACGGCCCTGGCCTGCGTCCACTCCACAAGAGAGCCTGCTTTGTTGGGGGCTGACCGGGTCTGGGCCACCCGCCCTGCAGTGCAGGCCCAATCTGTTCTCTATTTGTCAGGGCCGCGAGGAGGGGCTCCCTGCCCAGCCTCTGCCCTCCGCGGGAGCCACACGATGACATTCCTGGGCCTGAGCTGAGCGGGGGTCAGAGCTGCCTGCCCCTCCCTGGAGAAACCCAGATACAGCCCAGGGCCGCTGGCCGTCCACAGCCCCCTCCCCACCCCCGTGGGAGTTGCCTTCATCCTGTCTCAGCGGAGAGGACACTGAAGCTCAGGAGGCCCAGGAGGCCCGCAGGCAGGAGGGAGGGGCGCCGGGAGGCCACGAGCCCACCAGGGCTGCCAGCCCACGGGAGACCCCAGCCCACGGGAGACCCCAGCCCACGGGAGACCCCAGCCCACAGTAGACTGCAGCCCACGGGGAAACCCCAGCCCACGGGAGACCCCAGCCCACGGGAGACCCCAGCCCACAGGAGACTGCAGCCCACAGGGAGACCCTAGCCCATGGGGAGACCCCAGCCCACAGGAGACCCCCAGCCCAGGGAGACCCCAGCCCAGCTGCCTGGGAGACATGCCGTGCTTCTGAGCCGACCTCGGGCACCAGCCTCCGGGAGGCCTCCCAGGGCCCCAGAATGTCCTGTGATGGGGCAGCTGAGCTCCAGGCTGCCTGGACGCCTACACACCCAGCACGGCCTCTCCTCCTCACACCCGGCCTCCCGCCCGGTCCTCCTTGCTGCCCTGTGCACAGGCTCCAGGGGGGAGCGCAGGCCAGGCAGCGCGGAGAGCAGCAGCCCTCCCGGGCCCCCAGAGGCAGCCTGGCTCCAGGCCCTGGTTCTGTAATGGCCTTGCTGTGTGACCTGGGCAGTGACCTGACTTCCTGAGCCCGTCTCCTCACTTCATGAGCAGGGTATCGGAGCCCAGATGTACAAGGCAACAGCCGGAGGGCCTCCTGGGGCAGGAACGCAGCTGGAGCTGGACACAGGGCCCTGCTGGTCGGACGCCACCTCCCACCTCCGTGCACACCAGGAAGGACCCCAGGGACCCCTCCCCTTCCCGAGACCCCCAGTGTGGATCAAGTTCCGACTCCACTTCTGCTGGGCCTCGGGTGACAGGGACAAGAGGAAAGGATCCAGTCCTCAAACAACGGTGGCATGGAGCTCGGGGTCCCTGGCACAGCCGCCTGCCCGGGCTCCTCCGTCAAACCCACCTGCGTCTGCTTAACCCGTGCACATCGGGGCGTCCCTGTCACCGCTGTGGAGCACGGACCCTAACAGACACTCAGGTCTCCAAGTGGCAGATGCAGATGGGCTGTCTTCTAGAAGCTTCTAAATTTCTGTTGCAAAAAGAGAAGTCCAGCAGCCTGTCCCCAGGATGTCTCCAGGGGCAGCAGCTGGTGGGCGGTCAAGGCCATGACCAGGGCAGCGCTTTGTGTGAGGCCTGCTCAGACTCTGCCTCTGAGGTCCTCCAGGGCGTGTGAGGATGCCAAGCCATTTCAGAGGAATTATGAAATTATTGGGCACTTACTGTATGCCGGGCACTGTTCTGGAGGCCGGGAGAGCGGGGGTAGGAAGCGCTGGCCCAGGCCCTCTGAGCTGGCCTGGCTCTCCTGCGAGGCGCTGGCCTGGAGTTCTCTGCATGCCAGGTTGGCCAGTCCCTCTCTTAGCAGCCTAGAGTCTGCGGCACATGCAGTGACGTGGCCAGGGCTGGGGATGATCGCTGTGGCCGATCACTGTGGCCGGGGAAACAGCGTGGATCAGGGCACGGTCAGCACCCCAGGGCAGAGGAGAGCCGCACCCCATGCCAAGCAGAGCTGCTCGCTCTGAGAGGTGACCCTGCTCCCGGCTCTCCCGCTGGCAGCCGTGGGACGGGCTTAGCACGCGCCTCTGGTCCAAGTCAGGCGTGGCCTCGTGATCTGCCGGACCTGAGATGTGAGTAGAACTCAGACCTGGGGCCATGGGGACAGCTGGCAGGAGACCGGCCAGGCCCCTCCTGTACTCCACACTGCTTGCCCTGCCTGGTGGCCTCCAGGTCCCTGACACTCCATCCATCCAGGTCCCAGGATGAGGGGCAGGTGCAGAGGCCCCGCTGACCCTCGCGCACATGGCACACGTGAGACGCCAACCCTGCAGTCTGAGGCTGTGAGGTTGTGGAGCTGTTTGTCACAGCAGCAGGGCTGTGTCCGAGCCCACTGCGTCTCCACTGCACAGGCGGGGAGACGGTCAGGGCAAGCACAGAGGGGACACTGGGGACAGAGGACACCCTCCCACATGGGACAAAGAACACCCCTCCCCCAGGGCACAGTGGTGCCCTCCCCTGGGGACAGTGGTGCCCTCCCCCATGGCACAGTGGACACCCCTCCCCCGGGGACAGTGGTGTCCTCCTGCAGCCTTCCGGAGGTGAGCCCCTCCCCCACGAGCCCGCCAGGCCCGGCTGCTCCCCCTTCAATTAAAGCCAATTTCAAGGTCCCCTGGTTTCCCGTGCGTCCCTGGTCGTGTCCACCAGAGGCCCCGTCTGCTCGGCTGCCCATCTTGTCGGAGCCGCCAAAAAGACAAATGGCCTGTGACTTACTGTCCGCGATGCAGCACCTTATGGCAAGTGGCCGCGCAGCCCAGGAATAAATCACAGCTGGTCTCCCAGAGCCGCCC